GGGGGGGGGTGGGGGTGGGAATCCACTGTTGTAATCTGGACACTTTAAAAAAAAATGTTTTTTTGTTTTTTGTTTATTTGTTATGATACTCCAAGAGATACTTTTATCTTCTGTGGCATATGCACCACTTCCTAACTTGTATGAAGAACTACTTAAACCTGTACAGCCTCGTCATCGTTCACAATCGTCATGCAGTAAATATTGATTGCAACTCAGTTGCCAACTCTTGCCGTTTACCATATGGTATTGTTGTAGATATGAGTATAGCTGGTAATCGAAAAAAAAGGCATCAGCTAGAAGGAATTATCAGCTGCTGCTAAAATACAGCTAAAAGTTACACCAGATTACAACATCTGTAAGCTCTGTTCAACAAATCCGGAGATAGAGACCCGTAGATTGTTTGTCATTGTACTCAATGAACCGGCAACTCCCCATTCCAAAATTTATCGGTCACTTGACCCTTCATTGGTTTCGCCAACTACATGGAGTGAAAAGAGGGGGGGGTGGGTCTGCTGATTGAGAAACAGTGGATTCCCCCATAAAATCACATCGCCGAAGCTTCTTAATTTGTACGGAGACACTTTCTGTGACTTAGTTAAATGATGCCATCTTCTCGTAGAAACGGTCGGACTTTTTTAAAAAGTACATTGCACTTTAAAATAGCATAACGAACGTTTATTACCGAAATTGAGTTGACAGGCATGTGTTGTCAAGGGTCCTCAGAGTTACTTGCACGTGCTATCGAGGGTCCTCAAAAGAGCATGGTCCTCTGCTTAACATATTTGTTCTTTATCTTATTGCTGGCTTTGGGGGTAATAACATATATAAATATATCATTACACCAATACACTTTCAAGAGCGACCGAGTTTGTCTCAGAGTTTGTTATATCAGTGGGATAGCAGCTCATATATTATAACTTTTATATCCACTGTCTAAAGTATTACTTTAGTAAATCATCTTTTCTGCACTTGTTTGTGTTAATGCATGGCGGAGAAGAGTCCCTTTACACTTAAGATAATGATGCAGATTTATCATTCGCTTACGTCTTATTGTTGCAAAAATCCGAGCAGTTTTGTTTGGCGATTCTTCCACGCATCAACAATAATAATAATGCCTGATCACATATACCGATCCACTTCAGCTGAAAGAATTATGTATGCTGTAGAGGTATTTCCTCCTACCCAAATGCTATTGCAGTCTATATAACAAGAGAACAAATCTAGCCCCAGGCTGCTATGAGGCTAAGCATAAATTCCTATCTCGATAGTGCAGATGGCGCCCTGAATCCTTGAACTGGAAGAATCTAATGAACGAATCATAACACCAATCAAGGCGAGATGAACTGAACTGTTAAAATGCGATCGTCTCTAATGGCTTTACACAATGTCTGTCTTAAAATGGAGATTTATCTCTAGTTTCTTTATTCAGTCTTAAAATGGTCACTGGTCTGCAGTTTAAAGATAACACACAGGGCCACCGCAATGTCAAGGCCTTTAACCAAGGCCCTGACAACCCCAATATCCTCACAACCCCAAGGACCTTACACCAGGTTCATTACAACCTCAAGGTCCTTAAAACCCCAAGACCTTTACATCAGGCCTCTCACAAACCCAAATTCTTTACACCGGGTCCATGACAACCTCACTTACACCAGAGTCCTCAGAACTCCAAAGACTTTACATCATGGTCCTTACAATACCGAGGTCCTCACAACCAAAAGGCATGCACATCATTTAGACAATCACTCCATGAAGACGGACACTCGACACCATCTACCCTTATCTACGAAAGAAAATATTGAAAAATCTGGGCTCATAAGGTGTCAAGAATATTCAATCGAAAGTTAATTATGAGCTCAGTTGTCTGAATAAAACGTGTACAGAAGCCTACGGCAAAAGAATGCAACCCCCCTGCACCACTTATCATAGTTTATCCGGTGCTATAATTGCTTTGTGTTATAGTTAGCATAGGTGCATTTACATTGCGAGTATTCCATTGCGTGACACTTTAAAGTAGAGCTGGGAGATTAGTAGGTGATAGATAGTCTGATTTAATAAATGAAGGATTGCGTTCAAGCTGTGTGAAGGAAATAGAAGAACAAGGTATTTGCAAGCTTAAAATAGAAATACTTGAGAATAAAAGAACGATTCGTCTAAGAGCCTTCCTTGTAATCTTGGTTTTGGAAAACCCGATTGCCAGCAATAACATTAACGGCGAACACTTCAGTTTTTGAACTACTCTCTATTTCTTGTTGTTTCTCCATTTGTCCTGTCTGCTGAGGAAGGGTCTTAGCCGAAACGTTCTTTTATTGACCTGTCTTTCTATATCAAGCTTCCACTGTCTGATTTACTACGCCTTGAGCAAAACGAAACTCAATATGTTTGGCAGGTTTATTAAGATCACTTCATCTATACATACACAATTTAGTCTTGGCATAGTTTGGAAACTATAGCAAAGTTCCCTGATCTCTTTTTTTCACTAATTGAACATTTCAGACACCGATTTAATAAAGTTCTCTCGTTCTCGGAAGTACATGATACTGATGCACGTTTAGAAATATAAAAAAAGCCGATGTCCTTAATGTTATGTGCATCTCATTTCGCCGATCCACCAACGTTTTTTCCCAAGTCCCACACATGGTCTGTTTCTGTATTTTTAATGAATTATTTTAATTCACTGACTTTTGGCACTTCGGTGTATGTTTCCCCCTGGGGTGGGTATATATGTATTGCATCACGTAAGATGAGCAGATAATTTTCAACGGGAACACTGCAATTATTAGAAATAATCCTGGAGTTTTAACCTAACTTAAATGCAACAATACCATACACCACCATTAATCCAGTCCCATAATCCCATCATTCT